CCTTCCTGGGCCACAGAGAGGCAAAACCTTGTGCGAATGTAGAATGGATATTGTGGGGAAGTGTTGACTAGTACATGGGATTTGAGAGCTAACAAACTTAGGTACAAAGCCTAAGGCACTAATGAGCTTTTTAAATCTGGAAAATACTCAGCTTGTGTGATCCTCAGTTTCCTCTAGCAAAATAGTTATAAGACTAGTACCTACCTCAGATAATTACAGTGAGGAATAAATAAAATAATGCATGTAAAATGCTTAGCATAGTGTCTATGTAATAAAATCTCAATGAATGCTATATCTTTTAATTGTTGTGTTAAATATTTACAGGATTGCTCCATTTAAAATCAGAATAGCAACACCTTCAAGTACTCTAAAAGTCATTAAGTTGGTAGCAGACATAAGGTTATATGGTGTTTGATATTTAGGACTCAGTAGGAACCTAGCGCCAGGGACTTTAATCTCTGAAACAGGTTCATTTACTATAGTAATCAGAAAACCCCCAAATAGGAATTTTTAATTATGACACATGATTGAGATCCAAAGTACAAAGTGGCAGAACCAGGAGTTGTGAAAAAAATTACATATGTTTATTCACGAGGCTTATCCTAATTTCAGGGAATTGTCCTGACCCAGATATGCCTTGAAATCATCTCTTGTCATTGCCACCTTTATACAGACTGGCTGGATAGACTATGAAGGGGCCCACTGTATGTCAGATGTTGTACTAGGCTTTGATGACACAAATCTGGGCCCTACCCTCATGAGGCTTACAGTTTATGAGAGTACTGGTATGGGACAATTAAGTATAGACATTCTGCATTTAGCAAAAATGAAAATGCTTCTCCAGCAAGGATCATTCTGGAAATTGCAGTGCAATGTGGAAATTGCCCCAAGGTCAGAGAGTCATGATGCTCCATTCCAAATTCACAACAAACCAGACTTTTCTGCTACTGTAATAAAAGTTGGTGTTCCCAATGGAACTTATGGATTCTTTCAAACAGGTATCCTCAGGTGAGCTGTAACTTTGATCACAAATTCCTCCTAGAAAGTCACTCAGCCTGACTGCACACCAGGTCAGAAACAGATGCTTCATAATTTAACTGGAAATCTGAGCTGTAACAAGATGACACATATATCACACACTGTCAATTTGCTCATTTCCAGGAACTGACATTCACAGCAAAATTTTTTGAATTAATCTTAATTTTGCAAAACTATCTACTAGAACCTTTATGACAGTGCCTTTCCTACAACTGTAAGAATGAAAGATTTCAAGTTCTTTGAAATGAAGATTAGTACCTAGAGACTCCAAATTAAACTCATTTAAAAGTAATTCAAGTAAAAAATATCACTTGAGAAAGTCTGACAATCAGCATTTCTATATAATCTAGTTTCTTTGAAAAAATGATTTCTTGTTTCACCTCAAGACATCAGGTCATGGAGTCTTCATTTTGATTCTGTCCTGTCTGAAAATATGGCTTTCTCTTGGCCCAATGGTTCTCCCAGTACATTTCTTTGAGTTGGGGTTTTTGAACTGCAAAGATTGGCTAGTTGTGGAGGGTGGCCTGGTCAGAAAGAGTGGAAGAAGTTAGCAGACAGAGTAGGGTCAACGGGAAGAATGTTGAAACTTCTAACTTATTGGTTTGAACTAGAAATTGTGTTGCTAGGTCAGAGAGGGGCTTTATCAGGCAAAGCCAGGACAGCAGGCTCTCTCAGAGGAGTCTTCTACCTTAGCTAAGATGTTCCAAGCAGCCCAGGGAGTGTAATGGAACCAACTTGACCTCAAGAGACTAGATGGCTGAGCTGCCAGTATGACAAGAACAGTTAGCCCTGACTCCAGATAGTCATTTTAGTTCCTCTTGCTACTGCCTTTCCTACAACTTGCTTTCTCTTCCTGCCTGCCAGCATAGCAGAAAAAGCATGGTATGGATGCCTAGCTGAAGGTTCACTAAAGGGCTGATTTCTAAGGCTCCTGGCTCAATCAGAGCCAGGGATGGGCAGAAGGAGAAAGGGAGAAGGTGAAACTTCTATTCTGCCTGGTAGCTGATGCTCAGACAATGAGAATGTGCTAGACCTGGGCTGGCTGATTGGCTGGCCTCTTGGATAGTCTGGTACCTTTGGTGCTGCCTTTCTCAGCTGTATCCTGTTTCAGGAGGTGGCTGGGAATCTGAACTCCTAGCACCTTCCTGCTTGGTTTTCAAAAGCCCCTGCCCTTGTTTTGAAGCAGCAGCCAGCACCACTTGTCTCTTCTCTCCTTCCCCCAGGCACTTCTGTTCAGAGTGCTGCCTCTTGCTGGCTCCTTCTGCTTCTGCTTGGTCCTCCTGCTGTTTGGGAAGTAAGTACACCAGTGGGGTGATGGGGGTCTGGAACTCTTAAAGGAGCAGCTTTATTTCTATCGGAAATTTACTATTTACCCAGCACATATTTTTCTGTCTTTCCTCGATCAATATAATCTGGCGAGAAACGTGAATCCGATACAAAGTTATCATAATCATCATTTAAATGTTAATTGCAAATGCTCTGGTTTTCCTCTAAGGATTTTCAAGCAGACCAAACACTTGCCCTGACAACAATTATTATTAGCAATCAAATACAACTTGAGGATAATTTATTGAGGGCATACCGGTTGGGGGCCACAGGATATGAGCAGGGCAGTCTATGCCATTTCAAAGGCTCACCATCTAGAGCTGAAGACTGGAATTCCTCGAGGAACGAGGCATAGAGATAATTTAAAAATCCCCAGCACCAATTTTTGCCAATAGCCATTTAGCCTCAGAGTCTTTGACCAGAGGAGTTACAAGTAGTCAAATTGACAGGGCAATTTGAAATGTCTTCCGTTGGCTGGCTGCCCATTGGAGATTTATAGTCAGCTAGTGTCTATTAAGAACCCAGTCTTATGTAAAAACAAGTACACATGTAAGAAAAAGCCTCACTAGATGCTAGAGTTGCAGTATCTTAGTGCCTTGTTTCTGTATGTTAGTGGTGTACTTTCTTCCAGTATAAAGAATGTGAAAAAGACCAAAGCCAGAGCCCCTTCAAGCTCAGATTCAGAAGTCTTCCAACTTCCAAAAAGAGTTGTAGTTCATTCTTCTGGGTTCATCCCTAAACGGGCTTCTCCAGATTCTAGGTTTCAAATCGGGATCACCCTATAGGAAAAATGTCAGATCTTGAGCAAATTAATACCTCATTCTCAGTTTCTTCTGGGGAGAAAATAAAGAAAAGCTATTTGGATGGTTTTGAATATGAGATAATATTAGAGAAATATATTCAAATAGAAATGAACGAATGTCATAGCAGTAAGAACCAGATGGAGGCTAGATCAAGGCTCTCTTTTTAGGGATGGGGAAAGCCCCAGAGAAGAGAGTTGCTCAGAGTCACACAGAATTGGCAATCTGTTCTGTTAATGTTTAGTCCATTGCTCTTCCTAAGAGAGTCCCAGCTATACTATTCCAATAATTCACCAATACTGGTCCTTCTGTATAACAACATAAAGAAGTTAAATGAGAGTTCCGGGTCTCCAGAGTACTCCTGTTTCTGAAATGCCAGGGCCAGTCTTGCTTTTTCTCCCATAGGAGGCCAAAAAGCCTTTCCTGGAGGTCACTGGCTAATGGGATCCACTAGGTCCTAGACCACCAGAGGAAGCTGATGGTAGGAAGGCACATGGAAAAAGACAAGATTCTCTGATCAGAAGGGAGACTGGCAGCCAGTGGGCAGGATAGTGAGCACATACCCAGTTCTGTTGTGATTCCCTATAGGAGGAAAATGCAGAAGTCCTTTGCCCAAGGCAGATAGTGGAAGATAGGGAGAAGGTTATACAGTACAACCCATTTTCCCTGAGTTTTAATATTGAATTGAAAGAAGACACGAGGGCAGTAATTCCTGTCTACCCTTGCATCCCACTGAATTCTGGGCCCAGAGTTTGAGGAAAAATGGGTGCATTCAGCACCCCGCAGCCTGGTACAGCAATGCTGCAAGCCAAGCTGGCCTGGGTGCAGACAAGTGGCATATCAGGGAAAGTGAAGGTGACTGCTGTCTCCTTCTTGGCCCCTAGTGCTCTATGCTGTGGATCCGAGGGATGCTGATGCTCGAGCCACCAAAGTTTGCTCTGGTTCTGGGGTCCGGTGGACAGTTCCTAGAGAAGGAATTGTGCTCCTGGCACCAGGGGTTGAGTTATTTTAGGTTCCAAATACTAACTTCAAGTGGTGGGAGTGGGCGGGGTTCAGAGAGGGGGACCCCTTCCAGAAGCCTGCCTCCTCACCATGCCAGCCCCCTCCCACATACCTGCAACTGCCCTTCCAATGGGTCCACTCTGTGGCCGCTCCCACCAGCTGCTTTTGACAGAGGGTATCCCAGGCCATGCGGACTGGGCGGGGCGAACCCCTGCCAGATCCTGTGATGCTAACATGCTGGCTTCTAGTCCTGGCTTTGGGCTGGCCAGGCTCCGCCCCCTGTGAGTGTGTAAGTGTGTGATTCTGCCACTGCCGCTGCTGCTGCCTCTGCCGCCTGTGCAGCCTCTGCTGCTGCTGCTGCTGCTGCTGCCGCCGCCGCCGCCGCCGCCGCCGCCGCCGCCGCCCCGCTGCCACAGGGCGCCTCGCTGCTGCCACAGCCACAGCCACTACCCCAGCTGTCCCCGCTGCCGCCACTGCCTCCGCTGCTGCCTGTGCACAGCCTGCCAGGCGGGCTGCTCTGCCTGCCCAAGCCCGCAGCGGCTGCCACTGCAGGGTCCGGGTGCTGGGTGCTCAGGGCAGCAGCGGACCAAAAGGACTGGAGTGAGTGGCCAGGCATTTGCCCAACCCTTGCCACTGCCTCCACAGCTTGGGAGCGCAGGATCCCTCCCATCCCTCTTGCAGCCTATGTGGCTCCAGCACTTTTAAACGGGGCGGGAGTGCTGGAGAGCCGGCGCCCAGAACAGAGAAGCCAGGAGCCAGCGGAGAGGAGAGCTGTGCCTACCGGCCAGGAGCTGAGACAAACACCCGCCTGCCCGCTGATCCCGACTGCCCGCTATGGATCTATTCGACTTTTTCAGGGACTGGGACTTGGAGCAGCAGTGGTAGGTGTTGCTTTTTTTGCCTTCTCCTTTGCTTTGCAGCTCCATGGGCTGGAGTCAGGCTTTTCCCCTTTGTTAAGGGGAGTCGGGGCTGTAGAGGGGGTGCCTCGGAGGCACTCCCACTTGCTCTTGGCCACCTCTGGCCCCGGCGCCTGGACTCCTAGGTTGGGTGCCAGGGTCCACGGAGGTGCCCATAGACTGAGGAATGAGGGTCCTGAAAGCATCCCTTGGGGTTCCAAGTCCTAAGAGTTTGCATTTAGCCCAAATCGGATCCAGTACCGCCTCAGGAGCTGAGTCTCAGGACCTTCGCAGGAATTTCCTCCCGAATGGTTGGCCAGGTTGGGCTCCCAGCGCACAGGATGCTGCCCACCTGAAATGCCTTAACTTTCCAGGGTCCCACAGTTGGCGGCCGGCTACGGGGAACAAATAAGCAAGCGGCGGCGTGGTGCCACCAGCCGCCCTCTGGTTCCTCAGCAGCCAAGGCCCCCCGCCACCCCACCTTTGTCCCCGCGCAGCAGGGCAAGCACACCTTCCCTTCCACCCGCTCAGCCCAAGTTCCTCCTACTCATCGCCAAGCTGCAGCTTCAGGGGACCCAGCGAGGGGGCCCCAGGTCCCCATTGACTTTGGTGTTTTGCTTTCAAGGCTAAGGGTTTTTGAAGTTGGCCCCTGAAATCGGGCGCTCCCATGTCAGTGCACATTTTATTACCTGCTGGACCCCTTTCCCCCCCTCCCCCACAACACACACACTGGGAAGAAGCTGCAGGTTTGTGTAATGGGTACCCATCTCAGATTCAAAGACTAAGTTAGCTCTTCCCCAAATAACTGAAACTTGTCTCCGAGAGGTTTTTGAAGGAGAGCGTGGAGCTGACTGGGGAGCGGAAAGTTGTTCCTCTCTGCATGAAGTGCGCGCGTGTGTGATATACATATCTATTAACTTAAAAAAAAACAACCTTCATCTTCTGCCACAAACATTTTTAATTTGTCACATTTTAATGCATAAACTCCCCACCACCACACACACACACAGCCTATGGAATTGGATGGGGGTAGAGCACAGTGGCAGCAACTTCTAATTTCACTCTTGGCTATTGCCTGTTACAATGTAGTTAGAATAAGCTACAGTATCGACCATAGTGGGACATTTTTTTTTTTTTTCAATGTTAAACTACTAGCAGCGATTGGCTAGGAATGCCCGTATTTTTACAAGGATTTCCCTTGCTGGTGTGATATTTTAGGCAATTTCCTTCTGTAGAAAAGGGTCATGTGCTTGGTCAATAGCTTCACTATGCCAGTCATGACTCCGTTACTTGCAGAGCCAAGATAATCAGAACTTAAATACATTTTATTTTGGAGAAATTCCGGGGAAATCCTTGAAGCCCCACATTATGCTGTATCAGTATTAATTTGTAACACCTTTTTTATAGCACACGGGGTTTTATCAGCTCTGCAGAAAAACATTATGCTACATTTTTTAATAACCATGCTGTTATTTCAAAGTAAAGATCACAATAAAATTACCGCTTAATTAAATATCATGCTCCTGCACACAGCCTTTACTCTGCTTCACTAATTTATTTTGCAGACAACTGATAACCACAGCATTAGTATTTGCATACAATTTACCTAATAGATGGTGTGGGTAATGTCGTTAATTTAACAGACATAGTTTATAATTGGTTTTGTGGGTATAGTAAAATGTGAAACATTTACAAGGTATTCATTTGTTAAAAACCTGTTTATTGTATTCTTTTAATTTCAATTTAATCTTAAGCATGTGCAGTTGCATATTTAAAGGGGATAAGCTCTTTTAGATTAGATTTTTTTTTTCCAGAAAGATACACCATCCCCTCCCTTTTGGAGATTATCTTTACTTACATTTAAAAAAATGTAAAATCTTTTTTTTTTCTCCAGTCCCCTAACTATGCCACAATAATTAAGAAACATGTAGACGTGGACACTCCATGGATAGTGTGTGAAATGCAATGAATTAGTATGACACATCTGTCTAAAGAAGCCAGTCTTTTCCCACTGTGCACATATTCCAGGAACTTTCCGCTTCTTACTGTTTGCTTGTGAGGTTCAAGCTTCCTTATGCATTTGTGTTTGTAAACATGTGCAGTGTGGTTATGTTTCTGTGTTTTATACACCCCAACTGAGAAAAGAACAATAATTATGACAATAGTGGATGGAGTAAAAAGCTTGCTGTTACCTTAAATGAAAATCTGTTCTTTTCTGAACTCACTTTGGACATCCAGAGCATGCCAATTATGTGTTCATTATATGTTTACTGCCTCTCCTGGGGAGTAAGTAGCTGCTTAGAGTGATGGCATTCGGTCATCTCTAACTCCCCAGGAGGCCCAAGGAAAAAAAAGATACCAGCCAAGTTAAGGGTCTCCTTTACATTGGACCCTTTTCAATATTCATTTGTGGAACAGAAAGCTCAGAGCTATCTCTACTGCAACCCTAGATGTATGACAGTAAGTGGATCAGGCCAGCTAAAACCAAACTAATTTTCCTAGAATTAATGAAGGAAGATTTTCATATACACAGACATATGTGTTATTTGTAATGACTTTATTATAGTAAACAAGAAGTGCATGCCCATTTATAAACAGATACATTTGTCAGAATGAATGCCAATGAAAAGAATGGGACATAAATAACACTGCATTATACACTATCTGAGAGTACTCAGTGCTTAACAGAACATAACCATGGATTTCACAAACTGCAAGAATATCTTAATGGGCCATGCTCTGGACTCCATTAAAGGGCCAAAGCTCAAGTTTCTTAAAATTCTTGGATAAATGAGCAATGTTCACCTGTGTCTGAATTTAATATGAACCATTCTGTGAAAGAAGAGGAAGGTGCAGATGTCTGTCTGTGCTCACCACAGACACAACTTGCTCTTTAAAAAAAAAGAAAACAAGGTTAAGAAAACACAAAATTTTATTCTTTAAATCATTCCATAGACTTCCCTTTGGGAAACCAGTAAATTAATTGTTGAGATGGCTAGAGATCATGTGGCTAGATTTAGACCTGTTTACCAGCAATTAGGATTTCATTAATCGCTATTTAATCAGGAGGTGTATCAAAATTAGAGGGCCTACAAATTGTATAGCTTTCAGTGCTGTAAGCAGCCCACTTTCAAATTGATTAGCTATTGCTTTGTGATAGGCCAGAGGTTGTTTTGTGTGTGTGTGTGTGTGTGGGGGGGAAGTTTATCTTCCATTTATTACTAAAAAGAAAGAGAGGCAGAGAAGGAGAAAGGAGCAAATTCTTAAAAATGAAAAGAAATCCACCATGATAGAAAAATAAAAATGTTAAGCCTAGAGAAATTGTAGTTAAGCGATTTTGACAGTGGCTGATTTCTCACTATGAATGACTGCATCAGTTGTTTGTAGTTTTTATGTGATGTCTCACAAGTATCCTAATTAGAGGCAAACTTGCAAACAGGCAGTTATACAGGAAGAGACTTAAACTCACTAAACTGTTATATAAATAGAAAGTTCAAAGGTCTGTGTGGGGCTGTCAAGGGTGGGAAGAGGCCATGTGCAGGCCAGGCATCTCCTCTTCCAGTGAAGGCAGCCCCCAGGGCCTGCACCAATAGCCCACAGTTTCCCCAGTTTTCCTCAGTCTTGCGGGGCTGGGGCGGGGGGGTCAGGTAAGGCAAGACCCTGCTGTCCAGACAAAAGTCAACTGTTTCTGCTCAAGCCGGGCATGGTCCTTGCACTGCAGCAGCCCTGCTGCCTCAGTCTGTTCTATGAACACAATGACTTTGGAAGCCTCCTTAGCTTCAATCCTCTGGAATTGTAGAACATGCCTATTTATGGATGGAAAGTTGTGGGAGAGAGAGATAACACAATCTTTGCCAACCTGGGGATAGTAGAAATGTGGAAGCAGACAGTAGGATCCTCTTTTGTCTAAGGCATACAGGTTACCAGGATTTCTCATTCTCTACCTCTATCCATTTATCTTTTTCTCTTCCTCCCTGTTTGTCTTCCAGTCAAAGAGAGATGGTCTATGGTTTGTTTTCTTTGCCAGTACAATATGCATTCTTCAGTGTTTTGGCATTCATTCAGCAAACCAATTGGAGTTGAGTTTCTTTCTTAAATGTTTTTTTAATTGACTTAAGAGAGAGAGGGGGGAAGGGAGAGGGAGAGAGAGATAGAAACATTGGTGAGACAGAAATATCAATTGTCTGCCTCCTGTATACTCTCCACTGGGAATCCAGTCTGAAACCAGGACATGTGCCCAGTCAGGGACTTGAACCAGTGACCTCTTGGTGCCTGGAACAACCCCTCAGCTCACTGAGCCACACTAGCTGGGCATAGTTGAATTTTTTAAATTCTTTATTGTTTAAATTATTACATATAGTATACATATATCTCCTTTTTTCCTCATGGACCACTTGCTGGCTAACCCCAACCTCCAGCACATGTCCTCACTCCCCTAGTGCAATGTGTCCATTGGTTATGTTTATAGGCATGGATACAAGTCCTTTGGTTTATCTCTTACACTCATCCCCATTCTCTCCTGCCTTCCCTCTGAAATTTGACAGTATGTTTGATGCTTCTATGCCTCTGGCTCTATTTTTGTTCATCAGTTTATGTTGTTCATTAAATTCCACAAATGAGTGAGATCATGTGATATTTATCTTTTTCGGATTAGCTTATTTCACTTAGCATAATGCTTTCCAGGTCCATCCATGCTGTTACAAGTGGTAAGAGTTCTTGATTTTTTACAACAGTGTAGTATTCCATTGTGTAGATGTACCAGTTTTCTAATCCACTCATCTGCTGATGGGCACTTAGGCTGTTTCCAAATCTTAGCTATTGTAAAATGTGCTGCTATGAACATAGGGGTGCATCCTTTCTAATTGGTGTTTCTGTTTTCTTGGGATATATTCCTAAAAATGGGATAACTGGATCAAATGGGTGTTCCATTTTTAACTTTTTGAGGAAACTCCATACTGGTCTCCACAGTGGTTGCACCAGTCTGC